ACATACACATACACATACACATTCACATACACATACACATACACATATACATACACATACACATATACATACATACATACATACATACATGCATACATACAGTACATACATACATACATACATACATACATCCATACGTACATATGCATATGTATAGGTCTACCTGTCTATAAATGTATATGTATATATATGCATATATGTACATATATATATACACATGCATGCATATGTTTGTAGGTCTGTATGTCTGTATGTATGTATGCATGCATGCATGCATGCATGCATGCATGCATGCATGCATGCATGTACGTATGTACGTATGTACGTGCGTACGTATGTATGTATTTATGTATCTATATATCTATGTATGCTGCATGTATGTTCATTCGTTCACAGGTTCATTCATTGTATACATCAATCTTTTCACACATGTGTGCATAGACGTGTATGTCTGGGTGCATGCGCGTGTAGCTCGTTTCCTGTAAACTCGCACAACTAATGACTAAATGAGACATATGCGTGTTCGCTCACACTGACATGTATGCATGCACATATACACTAGGGAGTTTAGCTTGAAAAAGATCTCCTTTCTGTGCATCAAGCCCATGCTCTGGAAACCATCAGCAAGGTTTGCAGGTAAAGTATATGGCCGCCGTACTCTGCTTCGTCGATAGCGTGAGGGTTCCGCAAACCATTCAGAAACCCACATGCTGGTGGCAAATTGGCCTGGAAGCTGCTGCCAGTGCTCATTTCCAGCAGTGCAGGTACATGTGTGGGTATAATATATTTGTGTAGAGATATGCACACAAGTATGCATATATGCGTATACATGTCTATGTACATGTATATGTACATGTATATATATATATATATGTCTGTATGTCTGTATGTATTTGTACATACGTAAAGGTTCCTGTGATTTGAGGGTGAGAGTCAGCAGTGCAGGCTCTGGATGGCTCATATCCTCCGCTCCGCCACTCCGGCGCTGCTGATTCTAGTACTGAGCATCTACAAGGACCTGCGTGTCGTATGATTCGGACATATGTATGTGTATAGCATCTAGTATAGCACATGTAAATTTGCAGCAGGCTTTCCATCACGCTGAATAATGCAGTACAGTGCAAAACAGCGCACCGAGATATCATGTTGGACATTTCTAGCTTGTCGAAGTCAGAGTGTTTTGTTCTTTCAGTATATCTACCTGCACTTAGCATATCTTTCTACCGGTTTGCTTGGCACATTGGCATGCAGCTCAGATTTCAAAGTTTGAACAACATCGAAAATGCCACACTTACCCGTCCTCAGTGTGGTGATGGGAAGCTGAAGCATCTCAAAGCCCGCAAGTGTTGCATGCATCAGCGTGGCCACGGATGCAACAAGTACCTCCTACAGGCAGGAAGGCAGGAGATGCCAGCCAGCATCCTGTGGAAGGCTGTTGAGGAAGGACAAGAGAGCGACTTCCCAGAAAAGTATTTCTAGTACCAAACGCGTACCATGCTGAATTCTGAATGCATTTCCAGCCAGGATTCTGCAAGAAGTTAACAGACTTGTACTGACGCGAACACAGCTAGCCTGCATGTAGAGCGATACCCAAAGTTATCTGTGCAACATTCTGGGTCAAGATCGCTGTGCAACCGATGGTATCAGTACTGAACAGCGACGCCCATTGAATCATGTATCTACTGATCTAAGCACATTTTGTAGCCGAATGCCATGCCCATATTGTGCGCGCATTTTATGTGTTGACAACTTGCGACCTGCGAGACGAGACTGCAACGATGTCCTCTGTTTGTTGCTGTCACGCCTGAAGTCATGGCCTCGCAGTGACATGATGATGGCGACGGCGAGTGATGGTGATGGTGATGATGAGTGTTGTAGCATTCAGCCACTCCAGCCTGTGAAGGACCCTTGGCTCGCACTGGTAGTGGGCGCGAACTGCTTCTTGCCCGAGTTTTGTGCTGGCTTCGGCAAGTATTTGGTCTGCTACCGGATCGAGAAGGCACGATTTTGTCTGGCAGTGACAATAATGCCGAGCAAATCTCACCCAGAAGGCCCTGATTTAGCCTTGGCCAAATCCTGACTTCCGGACGTCTCAACTTTGGGTCTGAAATCCTGACTTCCTGCCTTCTCGGCTATGGGTCAGAATATGGTTCAAGTTGCAGGAGAAAAGAGGAGGAGAACTGACGTGCGCCTTCTTGCCCGACATTCCTGCTGCAACGGCGACAATCACAGGCGCGGCTCCCACTTATTGCGGGAGAGATCTGCCCCAGATTTGTTGCGTTGATCTGGCATGAAATTCGCTCTGCCGTGCAACAGGCATGATCGTGCTTTGCTTCCTCCTGGCAATTTTCGGCTGGACGAAGGCAGCTTCGTCTAGGACTTCCCCCAAGCCGGCCCACGTCGTCTATTTGACGAATGCCTACAAGGCGGGGCGCTCTAAGCTGCAAGCAGAGGTAGCACAAAAGCACGCATGCTTGTTTCGATTTGCAAGCCACAGAAAATGCCTATTGGTATCCTCGGTCCCACAGAGTCCGCCATTGAACCGCCCTTGAGTCAACGTGTCACTGTATGTGTTTAGGTCTTCTATGCTTTTTTGGCCAATAACTATAAATCAAAGTAGCCCTTGAGCAGACAGGATTGGGCTTGGTTTGGGGAAGGTTCTGTGGCTTGAATACAGTGGGGTCATCCTCGTTGCAACGTAGGGATCAAGGTGAGCAGTGTTTTTTGTGTTCACTACTTGGACCACATGCGCGCCAGGACAAATTTGCAGCTTGGGAAGTGGAGCGATTGGTTCGAAAGTGGCTTGGACCAGCACGATACCCCCACGATTCGCCCCAGATCCTACATCCAACAACCCTGGATCAAAGGATGCTGCTTACTTTGGTGGGTGCCGTGCTGCCGATCACCCTGTGGTGGACTCAGAGACTCACGCCGTCATCCCTGAGCCGTACAAAAACACATGACAGCACTTTACACTACAGGACAGTGTACCTAAACCCTAAACCCTAAACCCTAAAGCCCAAAACCCTGCACCTTAAGCCCGCCAGCGAGGTCACCTGCTCTTCAGTTGGGCTGCCTCAGCGTGATTCTTGTCGTCTCCTTGGTGGCATACGTGATCCTGCTCCCCTACAAAGAGAACGCCGGAAGCTTAGAGCAGAAATGCATGTAGATGGGCAAGGAGTCCGGAGTCCGGAGTTCAGCGTGCCTTTTGTGTTGGGGGCCTGCTGACCGGGAGGCCTTTAACCTGATCGAAGCAGCATTGCTCGCTGATGCCCTGGTGATTGCAGGGCTCTCCAACTCACTTCTGGCTAATGCTCCTTGGGCTGTCTCCAACACCAGGAGGCTGAATCTTCGCGTTGTGGCAATCCGAGGATTCGAGCTGGGCGAAAACGGAAACTCGGCGCGTCCGATTCTGTCTCGTTCAAGGCTACAGAGACTCAAACCTCTGGTGCAAGACTACAAGTTGTCAAGTCACCAAGGAGGCCACAAACCTCTTTCTGCTTTTCCTCACGGCCTTCCTCGCTGTAGCTGGAGCCGGCCTGATGCTGCTTCTGCTGATCCGGGCCTATCTGCGGGAGCGAAGGATGAAGCCCAAAAGGGCCGCCAAGTAATCCGAACCTGCGCCTCAGCGATGTGGTGCTGGCGATTCGTTGTGTCTCAAGACAGGAAGACCGATGCATGGAGCAAAGAATGTGATTCTGCATTCGGCAAGGGTTCGGTGCATTCGTCGCAAGAGCTTGTGCTGACCCCCGTGCTTGCTAGCTAAGATGTGCTTCTTCGAAGACGGGGTTGAGCCAGCGTCCGACATGCTGCAGAACCGCGAGTGTTCGCAGTAGTAGGATCATTGTAACGCCCCGAGATCTCAAGCGCTCCTACGTGGCAGGTATCCCGAGGCCTAGACCCCAAGCCCCACTTCCCCAACCCTCCGTGCCTAACCCCACACAAGCCCTTGCGTGTACAGACATGTGACAAATCACAGACTGACCTGACTTTCTGACCCCGGTTCAGTTGGCTTCGTGTCCTTAAGCCGGGAGCGAAGGAAGCTTGTACGAGTATGGGCTTATTCGGTTTAGACGGGCTTTAGCACTGTGAGCTATGTTCCGGGGGCTTGTTAGGGCCTGGGTCTTGTGGGAGTTTTGGGTTCGGTTGGGTGTCCTTGTGCTGAAGGTATCACATGTTTTGTGTTCGTTTGGCGGGAGGGGGGGCAGGGGCAGCTAGCCTTTCATTGAAATTCCCAAGTGCCAGTAGGTCCCGATAGGCAGTTTTTTCGGCTCAGCACGTCGCAAGTGGATGCTAGGAGAAGTTGCAGCAGCAACTTCAGCAGCGGTCTCAAATCGAGATTACGGCTCTGAGGAACCCAAGATAAAAGAGAGCTTGTGCCATGCTCTAAAACGAAGCTAAGTCCCAAAGCCTAAGCTCGATCTGGTTTCCCTAAACCCTGACTCTACCTCGTCTGTTCATCTTCGAACAACCTGGGACTTCTGTTGGCCATGGTGCCACTTTCGCAGGGTGCCGCACCGGCGACGCAGGACTTTCCCTGCGGGTACCTGACAATCTCAACTGCGATCAACAGTCTAAACCTTGGGAGACGGCGGTTGGGAGGTGTGGATCACCTTCAGGGCTTGAGTTTCGGATGCTCTGCTGGGGCTGTAGTGCTTGTACCACAGTCACGGCTTCAGAGTCGCTGTCGCCACCGGCATCCTCATCTGCAGCAGTAGCAGTGCCACTACCACAAGGATCTGCCGCATCTTGCATCAGGCGATATCCGTAGAGTCTATGTATGCCATGCCAGTGCAACTGCCGAAGAGTCTGCAGCCTGGCATTGAGCGTTCAACAAGAGTTCACACGCTTCCTCAGGTTATCTCCACCGGCAAAAGCAAAACGGGCTCATGCCACTGCGACTTTTTCTTGCGGTGACTTAGACTTGGCTGCTTTCCAAAGCTCTCTGCCGGCCGGTGAGGAAAAGGCTGAAGCGAGAGGAGTAGTGCTGCCTGTGTCGCCCAAGCTATCCGACATTTGATGCGTTGCTGACGCAATTAGAGAGCTGCCTTCTGGGTCAGATAACAATGGAATGACCTTGGTAGAAAGGACGATACGGCAACAAAGCCGGAGGTTCAGAAGATCCAGGACCCCATCTGCAAGCTCTGCCCATGATGGCTCAGAACTGCTAAGCTTCCATTTTTCGGCCCCGAGTTCCCGACCATGGTTCCGCGGCCGCAGACGCCACCCCGTTCCAGAACACTGGTTCTGATCGCCTATGCGCGATTCCTGATGAACGAAGCCGTCAGGTGTGTATAGAATGATATAGTGTTTTCGCAATTCTTAGCCTCAACGGCCTGCCCCCCCCTGCCCATTCCTTCCCCCTGAAGGATCAACCTAACCTGCATTACCTGTCGGGGCGCGCGGCTTTCAAGATGGAGCGGGACGAGCGGCATGACGTCACCTTAAAGCAGGTTTCCGGACCGCTTACATCGGACTGCGGTCCAAGCTGCACAGAGGAGACGTGCCCCGGTTGATCGGCTCCAAGTCGGGACGCTCGCTGGGTGAATTTCACCCTCGCATGTTTTTGTGCCGATCGGCACGGGGGCAAGGCCGTGTCGTCTGAGGACAGGGTGCAAGTGCAGTGCCGAAACTGCTTCCAATTGACCCGACTGCCAAAGCTGGAACTTCCAGAAAAAGATCCCTTTCAAAAGCCGGGACCCACAAAGTCCTGGCAAAATCGGCGCCCACACCATTGAACTGGTGGGAATTAGGAGCATGGATGAAAGGGTCAGGGCTCCATGTCGGACTGATGCCTCAATGCAGCAGGCTGCCCGTTCGCCAAAATGGGTGTTCTCCAATCTGCTCTCGAATCTCGACGGCTGCACCGGGATCTTGAACATTCTTGAACTTCCACGGAAATTGGGTTGGAGTGTTGTCAACTGCCATAAAGAGCAAAATCGAAGCAGTTTTTGATACCTGGGGCTCCAATTATTCATGCCCGGTTAGCGTGAGGCTAAGCCGTGGTTTCTCTGCGTGATGCAGGCTGCGTGAGAATTGGCGTGATGCCAACTTGTTCTGTTGGATTCCACCTGTTGCATGTTTTGATGTGCCGGCTGGATCCTAACAGTCGGTGCCGAGGGACACTAGCATTGCGCATTCTTGCTTTTTTCTTGCTTCTTGCACGTGGCCGGTGCCCGGGTAGAGCAGTTGTCGAAGTCGGGTTTGCCGGAAGCCGTGCGAATTTGGACTGTCTCAGCAAGGTTATGACTCATCGGACTTTTTTGCAAATGGCTTCCTGTTGATGCGAGTGCTCTGGAGGGTTGGTTGCAGAGGCGACTTAGCCTGAGAGACGCAGACGAGATATTGTCGGTAAAGGATTGGTCCACCCAGCCGATTGCGGCGAAGTTGCGGGTGCTTTGGAAGCAGTGCCAGCCTGGTGCTCTTTCGGGCGTGCAGTGCGCGTGGCAATCAGACCCGGGGTCCTTGCATGGAATAGCGGGCATCACCGGTGTCGCAAGCGCGGATGACATAACCTAATTACGGAATGCACTTCAACATTTGCTGAGGAAAGATTCCTTGTGGTGGGTATGGCTGCTAGGCTGTAACGGCGTAATTTATCACCACCGACTGCTGTAATCATCAACCGTCATCGTCATCAGCACCAGCACCAGCACCAGC